TGCATAAAACTGGTTTGAGCATTCTAGTTTCTTCTTTTCAATTCTTTACATTCTTTTTGTATTGTTTGGTGCCTGGAATTGTGGGCACTTGGTTTCTCTCACAGTCTGGAATTTGGTTGTAGAGGTTGTCAAGAACTCGGAATTTGGTTCTTGGTGAAAGGTTAGGTGCGAGAACTGGAATTGTGGTTCTTGTGGTAGATTAAGTGTAAGATTGTAATCTGTAAAACATTTGATCTAGTGGAACCCGAGTTGGAATTTGGTCTGGAGACTGGATGTAGCCCTGGTATTGGGTGAACCAGTATAAACACCGGTGACATCTTTCTAAACCGTTCTCCTCTTTTAATTCTGTTGCTGCGTTTATTTTTTATTGCTTGCTTTGTGATTCAAGAACAGATCTGAAATCTTATTTTTACAAATAGATAATCTGTTATTTGCGAAAATCTTTTAAAGATCAATTCACCCCCCCTCTTGATCAAAAACTACTTTTCTAACAATAACAACAAGTTTTAAATGATTAAAACACTTAGTAAAAAGTCCCTTAAGTTGTTTTAATCGATTAATTCGATTTTACATAGATTAAAAGTTATTCTGATCAATTATATTTGAGATTACATCAATTAAAAGTTATTCTGATTGATTATATTTGAGATTACATTGATTAAAAAACACTTCAAATAGTTTTAATCGATTATTTTGAAGTTATATCGATTAAAATACTGTCATAACACTTTTCAAAACATCTTAAGTGATTTTAATCGATTACTTCGAATCTATATCAGTTAAAATACTGGCAAAAGGTTTTCAAACACTCTTTTAATGAAAGTAATCGATTATTTCGAAAGTGTATCGATTAAAATAGCTCCAAGCAAATGTTTTAAATGATTTTAATTGATTATTTTGAAAACATATAAGTTAAAACTGATTAATACAGTTTTTCACGATTAAAACATTTTGTAGAGGCATTTTCGATTTCTTTTCAAATGATTAATCCCCATGCAAGCAAAGAGATGATTTTAATTGATTATTTTGAAAACATATAAGTTAAAACTGATTAATACAGTTTTTCACAGATTAAAATATTTTGTAGAGGCATTTTCAATTTCTTTTCAAATGATTAATCCTCATGCAACAAAGAGATATAAATGATTATATCTATGTATAGATGCGAGACTCTCCACAATATCTTCGTTTTATAAAATGATTTAATAAGATCTTTATCACTTTCAAGTGGGAGAACATAATTCCGTCGGTAATATTTTTATTATTTATTAAATATTTTACTTATATTTTTATAGAACCCCCTCCCTTTATATTTTTATTATTAATTATTTTCCCCTATTACATTTTTATAGCCTTTAATTATTATTAGATTAAGAGAATTGTCATTGGCGAGATTCAAACCCAATACCTTAGAGTTAGAGGCTAATACTCCAACCACTAAGCTACTAGAATTAGGTGAATAAAAAATATTTAATTTTTTAATTAGGTGAATATTTACTAATTGTTCATTTACCGACGGATATATCAGTCGGTAAATTCATCTGTAAATTATCGACGGATTTATCGACGGATATATCCATCGGTAAATAATTATTATTTTACCGACGGATATATCTGTCGGTAAAATCAAATTCCACAAATATTTTATATCTGTCGGTAATTTCTGTTGGTAATAATTATTTTCCGACGGTTACAAATCCGTCGGTAATACGCGATTTTCTTGTAGTGTGAAGCTTGGACTAGCCAAGATGGTCTAGAAAAATCTAAGATCATTAAGGATTTATATGCCCGAGTTAGAGTCAACATAGAGAGGAAAGTAGATCAGTATAACAAGCATGTCAATAAGGGAAGGAAGGAAGTCATCTTCCAACCTAGAGATTGGGTATGGCTTCACTTGAGAAAGAAGTGGTTCTCGACTCAAAGGAAGTCCAAACTCAACCCTTGAGGTGACGGACCTTTCCAAATAGTTAGGAAAATAAACAACAATGCATATGAGTTAGATCTACCAGCTGAATATAACATTAGTAACTTTTTAATGTTGGTGATCTTACTCCTTTTGATGCAGGTTTTGCAAATCCGTGGACAAATTCTCTCCAAGGAAGAGAGGATGATGGGTCCCTAGTTACTTCGGAGGCGGGAGAAGTCATCCCTAGAAGGATTACTAGAAACATGACTAGAAGGGAGGTCTCCTCTTCACCTTCCATTTTGAATTTACTTAGTATTTTTTTCCTAAGTTTTTCAATTATTTTCGCTTTCCTTTTGTAGGCTCACTTTTTGCACCTCCTTTTTGAAGAATACCACATCTTTTTGGTGGAAAAGAAGTCTTGGATCCATAGGATACATGCATGGGCAGCCTAAAGATGTAGGACACTCCTTTTTCATGTCCTACACCCCTTTTTGGAGAGGAAGAAGCTTGGGATACGAGATTGGTAGGCTTAGGACAACTCAAAAGGAAGCACACCTCTTTTTTTATGTTCTCCACACCTTTAGAGGTATTTTTGGTGGGCTATGACGAATTTAACATATTTGGACCATGGGGACTTTAGCCTTTCGATTTAGGTTAAGTTTATGTCTCCTTTTTGTAATTTCATCTAGGTCCCTCCCCAAAAAGCCTATAAATAGAAGGTTTCCCTTCATTAGGTTGAACATTTATGACAAGTTTGTGAGTTTTCTTAGAGTGTTCCATCTTTTTTACTGTCTTATCTTAAACCTTGGTTCAAGTGGCGGCAATCACCACTTATTTAGGATAGTTCATCCCCTAGTGGCGTGTCAACACTCCACCACCACCATATTCCTCTTCTCTTCATCTTTTCTTTTTTATTTCTTCACTCCATTTATTTATCCAGGCTGATACTTTTTTTTTTTTTTCAGTTTTTGTCTTTATTCTTTTTTAGTTTTATTATATTTCAAATAAGAATACTCCTTTAAATTAGTTCTCTTAAATGTGTGTTATGATAGTAACATATTATGAATATTTTTAATTATTTCATATCTATTGGTTTTAAACACGTATCATTTATCACCTAAGAAAATATTAGAAAGAAGTCATTAGATTAGACCATTTTATTATATTATATTATACAACATTAAAATATTCTTTTATTATTATAATTATTATATTCTTATATTGATTTAATTCTATTTAAACATTAAAGTGTTTTCCATGTTTAATTTATTTTTCAAAAACAAGAGATATATTACATAAGAATTTTTTTTCTTTTTATACTCACAACAGGGAAAACATGAGTCAAGATTTATAAACTAATAGAATTAAAAAAAATTATGAATGGATCAAATTAAAATGAAAAAAACAATGTGACTTTTTTTATATCATCCAAATATTTTTAAATTTCGATCACCTATGTCAAATAAAAAGAATACTTTGTTAGCTTTTTTGAATTTCTTTTAAGAGTCATTTTATGTTTTTAGACAAACTGTAAAAAAAATAAAAAATGACCGTTGATAAAAAAATGATAAAGGCAATAAATTCATAGTCATAGTTTGAGATTAGATAATAAAAAACTAGTTTATATTGTGAATACATATAACTTATCCTATTCTTATCAATTATTAGTAAAGTTTTATTAAATAAAATCGAAGCATAATATTTTACTAAAAAAAAAAGATGTTTTATAAGTTTTTCAAAATTAAAAATATATTAAAGAATTATTTATTCATTTATTTACTTGGGAATTTTAACTGAGCTTATTTATACATCATATCAAAACATTCATAATATTTTTATTTTGTGGAATTTTTTCCAAGCAAGAGTTTGTTTAATTTCTAAAAATAAAATTTTCGAAAAAATGAATTATATACGTTCGATTCTATTGTCATTATATTTAGAATTGTTTTATTTGTTTAAAAATAGGTTATTATTATATTCAAGAAAGAGAGTATTTCAATCATACGTGACTTTATAACATTTTATAATATTTTATCGTCAATTTTCATATTGATATTATTTATTTAATGATATAATTAATCATTATTTTATTTAAAGAAAACAACCACTTCAAAAGATGATGTATTCCTAAAATAAACTTTTTCCATCTCCATTATTTAATTAATATCCACGTTAACCACTACCTACTTGTAAATAATAAACTATATGTTGGATTTAATGCTATTAAATAAATCATATAATACCGTTTTGAAAAATGTTGTTTGTGTGGTTGGATTTTGTAATAAAAAGTAATTTGAAGTAAATATAAAATTTAAATATAATTTTATTTTTGTTTTAAAAAAATATAAATAAAATAAAATTAATATTTTGTGATTTGGTATGAATGATTTATGTTAATTTTTTTATAAATTTATTAAATATATTAGAAAAAAATAATTATTTACTAAAAAATTATATTATGAAAATATTATACTTAATTAAATATAATATTATCAAATTGAAATTAATCTATTTCATTTACATTTTTCAATAAAAAATTTAAAAAGATCAATTTTAATTAATTTTCAATTCTATTTTTGAATTGGTTGAATTTTAAGAAACCCTACCATTTTCTAATACTTATATATTTATTTCATCAACAACAACACTTACCATGTGCTTCTCATGGCTAATACAGAATTCAAGCGATGATATATATATATATATATATATATATATATATATATATATATATATATATATATATATATATATATATATATGACAATAGATGTGATGATGGTCCAAATTAGGGTTTTCTGTTATTAGCTAAAATAAGAAAAGAAAACGAAAAATAAATTAGGGTTCTTCATTTGAACGAATCTCGGGAAGCAGAAATATAACTTCATTTGACATGCTTCATCTATTTACTTTAATAATTACTTAGACAATGTACCAAGTACCAAAGGCCCTACATATTTCTAGTCAACAACGTTAACGTTTATTAGCCAAAGAAATCTAGAAAAATATATAAGTTAAAATTCATCATTTTGAGTGCAGATTTTTACCAAAATGATGAAAGTTAGAACCTAGGAACGAAGGATAATCTATTCTGTCAAACTGGTTGCCATGCTGAGACTGTAAGAAGAAACCTATTTTGCCACCCCAAAGAGATAACTCTTCCTTCATCCCTTTCAGAAACTCTGAAACCCCCACTTCCACCCTCTTCCTCAAGCTGTAGTGGATAATAATGGGTCCTCATCTTCAGAAGCAGCTTTGCTTGGATCACGCACTTTGAGCTAATTTTTCTTCCAATTAACCCATGATTTTCCATTCTTGTTTTCCATGTTTCCATCCTCTCATACTTTGGGCAATCCATTCCATCCATATCATAGTTTAGCATGCTTTTGATCTCTTTCCCCAAAAGCTTCTTCTCAATCCTCAACCTCTCAGTGCTCTCAAGTGGCAAGCAATCGTCTAGTGAATCAAACATGGCTGCAAAATAGTGCAAAGACTCGGTGAACCTTGACAAGAAGGTCTTAACACTCCTGCTACCTTCTTGTTTCACCAACACCACCATGGAGGGGCTAAGAGAATGAACATATTCCAATGTGTCAGAAATCTTCATGAAACTACTCAAAGTGTTCAAGTAAGAAACAAGGTTGACTGCCACAGTTTCATTTTTCTTTTTCCTTATGTTGATGAGTCTTGATGAGCCTCTTAACATCCCTTGGAATTCAAACAGAAGGTGGTTACTAAACCCCTTTGAGAAGCTAACTAATCTGGCCTCAGTTTCTTGTAGTTCTTTCAGGTTGTTCCCAAAACCTGTTATCCTGAAGGATATTCTGTTGCCACTGGTTGCCTTTTCAGAAAGTGATTGAATAAGAGAAGGCCATTGGAAGCCATAAGAGACATCAAAGTCAATGACATGAAGTGCTTTATTGTTCTTCTCTTCCTCCTCTTCATAGGCCTCTAAAATAGCCTGGTTTGCTGTGAAGTGAGCAAATTGGTAATAAGGTGAGACTCTATAGAGATCTGTGAATGCAAGAAACTCTTCCTCACTTGTTGGTTCTTCCATGACCATGTCATAGAAAGGGGACTTTCTTGTGAGAAGCCTTGCAGCCAAACCATCAGCAAAATAGGCCACCACACGTTGAACTGAATCACCTATTAGGGAAACTGTTTGGTACAAGTCAATGAGATTCTCTAGAGCTGCACAGAGGTTTCTTTCATCAATAGAAGTGGCGGCTGAAAGAAGCAGATGAATCAAGGGAAGCCCATTATTCCCATCTTCAACCACTCCTTTTCTTCTTTGATCTTCTCTTAGCATCAGCTCCCTCATTTGAAGGAGCCTAAAGATCTTCCCTTCGTACCCTTCATTGGAATTCATTGGAAAAACAATAGAATTAGCATTTGCATCCCTTGTCCTTCCTTTCTTTGTCCTCTCCTTACCTGCAGCAATCGAAAGAGTAAGATTCAGAAACTCTTCCTCCTCTGAATCTTCCATTTATCTGAAGCAAGAGTGAAGAAGAATGATCAATAGATATAGAACATATTACAAAGAGTTATGCTATATATGTTCTGCGTGTTTGTTGGCTTTACCTGGGAAACAACACAAACTTTGTGCCATGACATGGTGTGTATATATATAAATAAGACCGAAAAAGTGATAATAAGATATTTTTCTAATATTATCTTTTCAAATAAGACGGAGAGATTAAGAAGGGTATCTTTTTATTCTTCAGAATCAGTGTCATGGGAGATAGGAAAACACGTTGATGTGTCTTTATTATTGGACTGCTTTTAAAATCTATGCTAGGTGCGGTTTGGATTAATTCTTACTCCTTTGGTAGTTGAGAACGCTTGCAAGATGCCATACGCATTGGACAAGAGACAGCAGTGTCAATGGGAATCAAAACGTACCGTCCTCAAGAAATTGTCTTTGGACACTTTTTTCCTTTTATATTTATTGTCCCAACCAGTTTTCTTCAACCCTTCAAGATATCATGTTTCTTTATTCCTTAACCTTGTTTCAATACTGTTGTTGTACATCGCAAATCATGGTTTAGAGTCAACAAATTTCAAGTTGGCTTTGATGTTAGAAACTAATAAAGGGCATTAACAAAGACGTGTATGTAAGGACTTTTGGCAAGTTCCAAACATTTTATAACTTTGAACATCATAGGTTAGGTCTAGTGGAACAGATAGCCTTGAATAATACAGTAAATCCTGATAGATTTTTTAAGATATATATATATATATATATATATATATATATATATATATATATTTGATTTAGAAAAAATTATAATAAAAATATATGATAATATTTTAAATATAATTATGAGGTGAAATCGTTATATATAAAACGTTTTGATTAGATTGATATAATAATATTGTTAGGATTAATTATAAATATAAGATATAATTTTTTTAATTTAATTAATCATAATTTTATTTAAAAAAGATATTTTAATAAATTAAAAAATAATATATATATATATATATATATATATATATATATATATATATATATATATTAGTTTTTATCTCTACTCTAGACAACGTGAAAATCGGGAGAATATAACTTGAGATTTTATCAAGGTTTTGAATGAAAGTGAAAAAAAGAAAGGAAAGATTTTGGTTGAGTTAAATTATAATTCCAAGCTACATAGATCAAACTCAAGGTAAGATTCGTTGATCATGATTCAAAGATAGGGCTAAGGTGTTTGAGGGTTGTGAATACATTGAATTTGAAGCATACAACAAAAGTCAATGACATGCATAGTAAGTAATGGTTAATTAGAAGGTTTGATTATTTTATGTATATATTATTTTATTGGTTTGATGGAATCGAAGAAACTTGGATACCCTATTGTTCTAAAAATGTTTGTAATTGAGACAAGGATAATGGATTTTTTTCTTAGCTTATATTCCTCAAGTACATAGGGATCCTCCTGTGCAATGAGAATTTTGAGAACTTGTCATATCCCAAGACAAATGAATGCAAACAAAAGGTGACGTAACTTCTCCTGTGTGAACTAAATTTCATTTGTTATTTTTTCCATTTTGGAATGGAGCGGTGCTTGATTATTCAATTTGATTTTCCTATTATTGTTGGGGTATTGAAGAAACAAAATGGATTTATCCACAAAGCATCTTCCAATCTGGATATATAAGCCTTGTCCATCAAGTAATATAATTCAACTTTTTACCCATCATGTAAATAAATTCCTCAAAAAACTCTTAACCGAAACACATCATATTTTGATCCATTCAACGTGATTAATACGATGCACTGTAGTTTTCCTCGTTTTACACAAATCATTTCTAGATGTAATGTAATTTTTATTTTAAGCTCACATAAATTAAGTAAATTTTTAACATAATCTTAGTATGTTTAATTAAAAGAATAATATATATATATATATATAATAGTATATTTTTCATTTATAATCATTATATTTTTAATTTCTCTTCTCAACTATTTATAAAATAGTTATCTTTCTTAAATACCCATAACTACGACCAAACTATGGGAGAGAAGTTATTTACATTAATGTTGGTGGTGTTTGAAATAGTCACAGGTAGCAGCAAATGCTGGGTCCCAAAATGTCACATCAAAGGCGGAAAAATACTAAATTCTTGATTGCCCTTTTAATGGAGACCGGGAGGACATGTAACATGTTAATAATATGGGCATTAATTAATATGCTCGGACACAACAATATATTATTACATCATGCAATCTAAAGTTGACATATGGTTACAACACAATAGATTTGCTCGTTTCTAATAATTTTAGTTCACATGAGATTTCCAACATATTCTTCGCATAAAAATTAAGTGTTACCTTACAATCGAAAGGGAAAGCATCGACCACAAAAGAAGTTGTGTGTGATTTGCATATCGAAGAATGGAAAAAGGACAACATGGAGAGCAAATCCCAAATGCAAGAAACCTCTTTTTGTCTCGACGTGATGAGGGGAAGGAAAAGATTGAGGGGTTAGAAATTCAAAATGCACGGGAAAGACGGAAAAGGAAAGTCAGGAAAAAGAAAGTGGTAAGGTAGAAAATCATGCCTTTGGCGTCAGACATATCTTATCCATCTCATTTCTCTCTGCAAAAATTACATTTTCTAAAGTTGTAAGCATGTTTATATGTAATTTATTTGAAGTAAATAAAGAATGATAATAAAATAGATAATGAAAATTTTAAAATTTATTAGAAAATGTTTTATTCAAATAAAATTAAGAGCTGCTTATAATATGATAAATAATTTTTATTTTATATGATAAAACATAACTATTGGATATCTCTATTAATATGAGGTTGAAATTTTATTTTTAAATAAAATATTGATGCGAGAGCATGCCTTACTTTATTCATATTTTTTTAATTTTCGATAAATAAATGGATTTATGTTTCGATAGAATCACGAATTTGATATCAATTGAAAATAAAAGATAATTTATATATATTTTTAAATATCAATTTATTAATTTTAAAAAAATATATAAAATCCTGACATATTAAAACTCTGGATAAGAAATCTATCATGGTAATTAACCTAATCATGATTTTGAAACTCTGACCTCGTCAAATGTAAGAAGAAGATTAATTAGGAGGGTGTGTGTGCATGGTGGGGGTTGAAAGAAAAGGAGTGAAGGGGACAAGTAATTGAAGGCATTCCACATTTGTGATTGAGGTTGGTGGAGAAAAAACGAGGCTATGTCAGAGAACAGCACGTGAGGGTTTTTGTCGATGAAGAAAACAAAGGCTTCCAAAAATGATGGTGGTTTCACTTTGCGTGATGAAAGGCTTTGCGTGCGAAGATGAAAAAGAAGAGAAAGGCAATCGTGTCAGTGATTGAAAACAAAATTTTGATGGATGGAGATGGAGCAATGGAGCAAGCAGGGGTATCACCTACCAATTATTTGGAAACAAATCAAAGAATAGCAGATAAAATAGTAATTTTGCACACCTTTAATGTGTGATATATGAATGAACGCGTTCCCCTCTCAATAATTTACCAGTTCTTTATAGGATGAAGACGTAGGTTAATAGCCATAGTGTAATAATGTTATGGTTCTTTTTTTATTATGTTTTAAAACACCACCCAGTACTCCACACTCCTCTCTACGTAGTTCAACAAAATCTTCTTTCAATAAATATTAACTACCACGTGTGAATGATTAGGTTAAATTAGTAAAATATGTTTTTCTGATAAATGTTTAAATTCACTTTAATTAAAATACTTCATATGATTTTTTTAAATATTAATTATTTTATTAATTTTTTAATAATTAATTTATTAGATATGAGATTTTAATGATAAAAATATTTTGTTTTATTTAAAAATTATAACTAATACCGTATATGCATATAATAAGGAATTGGAAAATTGATTAGTTAACCAGTCTAATTAAAAAAAATTGATAGATTTAATTCATCAATTTTAATTTGTGTTGCTTAATTTATTAATGTGACAGAGACCAATGTTTTAAATAAATATTTATAAATTAAAAGAAATTATACTTAAAAATATTATATTTTTTATTATTAAAATATATAAATATATTATAATAATATAATTTAAATCATAAATATTAATTAAATAAGTTTAAATTATTTATTATAATTAGTTATTTTAATACATAAATTATTTTTTAATTCATATAATAAAAATATTAATTAATTAATTAATTAATTAATAAAAACTTAAAAATTATTCATATAATTAAAAATATATATTTTTTAAAAAATATATAAAAAATTAAATATATATATATATATATATATATATATATATAATAGTTTTTAAATGAATTTTGTATAATTTTTGGATAAATTATTTTTTCGAAATACATAAATAATTTTTTTTAATATATTATTGAATGACACTAAAAAAAATTATATATATATAACTTGATAATAATATATAAAAAATAAAACTTAACAAAATAATTAAATATATAAGAATAAATTAAATATTATAATTATAATAAGTACCAATATTTATTATATAAAAAATATATTTTAAGCATATATATATATATATATATATATATATATATATATATATATATATATATATATATATATATATATATATATATATATATATATATATATATGTGTGTGTGTGTGTGTGTGTGTGTATATAAACGGTAACTTCTATCTTTTGTAATTTGAGATTGCCTTTTGTTTAAACGCACGTTTTTAAAAGGTTATAACAATTGTTGTTGTAGGATGTATAATGTATTTTGTCCTCTTGGATCGTTAACATTGATATCTAATTACATGATCAAGACATTTATAATGTGTTAGACATTTATATTTATTAAAAATATGATTAAATTGTATATATATATATATATATATATATATATATATATATATATATATAAAGAAATAATTTTCCTTTAACAAAATAATTTGTAAAATGGAGTTATGTTTAGATAATATTTTTATGAATACATTAGAAAAATAAGAACAAATATAAAATAAATATTTCATGAATTTAAATTAATTTATGAATAAAGATAATTTTGGATAAATTTCTCCATTAACATTTCTAAAAGAGAAAAATAAGAAATAAAAAAAATAATGAACGTTTTCATAACCTTGAATTAGCGAAACTAATTTGTAGAAACTCCCATATACTAAATGCATATTTAAAATTTATGCAAAATAAGTGATATATATATATATATATATATATATATATATATATATATATATATATATATATATATATTATAAGATTTTTTGATTTTTAGGTTATGTCTATTGTTCTACTATATATACCTAAAAAGGTGAATTATAAAATATTTATTAAAGTAATGAATTTGAGATAAAAGGCTTATGTTTAAAATATGAAAGATTTATTTTTAAGAAATATAAAACCGGTATTTCAAAGATAGAGAATACGAATGAGGATGTTATTTTAATGTTAAAAATGATTTTTATTATTATTTATGAAGTAATAATTAATAAGTCTTTTAAAAAATTGTATAAATAATAGTGACTGAAATAGTTTTATTTAATAAGATTAAACTCACAAAATATTATTTAAATTAATTGAGGTTATCTAAAAATTAAAAATAAAAAAGATTATAATAGAATGTCTAAATCGGATATTTTATTAGTAACATCTCCCATCATTAAAGTTTTTCTCTTTGGTAGTCGTCAAACTTTTTGTTTAAGAGATAATTTTACATATTTGAACTTCAACATTTTTTTATATTATAACACATTTAACATTATAAATTTGATTACTTTTTTCTTGTTTTAACAAATACAAAATGTCTCAAAAATTAAAAAACGTGTTTATTAATTTATCTAAATTTTGTGATAGCATATGTAGTATGAAAACAAATTATTCGATCTCTGTTTTAATATTTTTTTTATGTGAACATGACCCATGACAAGAGTCAGACTAAGGAAAATAAAGGAAGTTCTTCAACAAGTAATGTTGGTTGACCAAATTGTGTTTTGGATTAATCAATTAATGAGTTTTAGTTTGATTTTATTACAAGTTGTAATAAGGGCAAATTAGAAATTTAGTTATCAGTCTTTGGGAGATCAAGAGGGTGTATATCTGATTGACTTTTGGTTGCCATAATTTTAGTTACAATCAGTCATTAAGTAGTTTTCAATTCCTAGATTAATGAATCATTATTAGCATTTATTTTCCTTTATTGAATCTTTGTAATTATGATAGCAAAATTTCTACATAGGCTGAACCATTTTTATCAAAAATAACAAGTGAAATTTTATTCAAAAATATTAGAGTTTATCTCTTTTATCTTAGTGAGAGTGATTCTCCTAAATTCTTGAGTGATTTAAGAACCTTTGGGATATATCAAAGAACTTTCACATCCTTTGTGAGTTGTGTTAGAAATGTAGGCTGAGATCAAGATGGGGGGTGAATTGATCTTTGAAAGATTTTCGCAATTAACAGATTATCTATTTCGAAGATTAAGAAATCTGACTAGTTCTTGAATCACACACAGCAAGCAATCAAAATAAATGCAGTCACAGAATTAAAGAACCAGTACAACCAAGGTTTATACTGGTTCACCCAATCCCAGGGCTACGTCCAGTTTCCAGCCAAATTCCAGCTGGGTTCCACTAGATTGAACGTTTTACAGATTACAACTTTAATCTCACACTCAATCTACCACAAGAACCACAATTCCAGTTCCTGCACCTAAACCTTCACCAAGAACCAAATTCCAGTTCTTGACCTACCCTGCAGCCAAATTCCAGCTACAGAAACCAGTGTCCACAATTCTAGGCACCCACAATATAGTAAAAGAAAGTAAAGAAACAAATAGAAGAAACTTAGAACGCTCAAACCAGATTTATGCAGTTCTGCAGTATGTGTTTCTTCTTCAAAAGAATGCAATTTTGCCTCAAGAAAGAACTTTAATGAACTTCACAAAAATTAGCGTGATTCTCTCTTGAAAGTAGCATTTATGATTGCTTGATTGATTGCTAAAAGATGTGTTTTAAAAAGTTCAAGCAACTCCGTTTATATAGAAGATTTTCAAAACTGCTGGTTTATTTAATCTGTTAAAATAATCTTTTAATCTGTTAAAAGTCTTGTTTTAATCTGTTAAAACTTCTTTTAATCTGTTAAAATGTTCTTGATTATTTTCTAGATGTGTTTTAACTGATACGACAACGTTTATATCAATTAAAACTCTTTGTAAAAAATCTTCTAAATTGTTTTAATCGATTGTTTCGTCTTTCAATCGATTAAAATACTACAAAATATTCTTATAAACTTTTCTAAGTGATTTTAATTGATAACAATCTGTTTTAATCGATTAAAACGCTTAGTAGAAATTCTCTTAAGTTGTTTTAATCGATTAAATCACAGTTTAATAGATTAAAATTATTCTGATCGATCAAAAACTCATTCTGATCGATCATATGCTCGGATTACATCGATTAAATAATACTCCAAGTGGTTTGAATCGATTATTTCAAGTTATATCGATTAAAATACTACCGAACACTTCCCTGAACATTTTAAGTGATTTTAATCGATTATTTCGAAACTATATCAGCTTAAAACATCGACGTAAGGTTTTCAAAAATTCCTTTAATGAAAACAATCGATTATTTCGAAAACATATCGCTTAAAAACCTGTTACAAAAGTGTTAAGAACATTTTAGTTGATAAAGCTTATATGCTATTAGTTAAAATAGTTAATTAAAAACCTTTTAACAAAATACTTTGTTTTTAACCGTTTAAACATTTTTTTAGAGGCATTTGCAAAATCTTTTAAATGAAGAAACCTCATGCAGCAGAAAGATAAAAATGATTATACCTAAGCAGAGATGCAGACTCACTAATCTCACTACCCTTTTATCTAAGTGACCTTTGACTGGCACAAAGTAGCCTTTGACTTCATTTTTGACTTCATCAAATCAACAAGATCTTTGCCAAAGTAATTCAATAAGATCTTCATCACTTTCAGTCTCCCCCTATTTGATGAAGACAAAACACCTCTTTGAATAATAACTCTGCAGAAGAAGTTACTTGAATATATAGATTAGTGAGTAATAAAAAATTAATCATTTTCCCATTTCTCCCCCTATATTGCTGCTCCCCTAAATAAGGAAAATCAATTATAAAGCAAAACAATTATTTTTCCCCCTTTTGACTTCATCAAAAATAGGGAACAGAGGAACCTTACTAAGTATGATATGTATCAAATTGTAGATTTTGAAAACAGTACAAAAAAAATTTGGATACGATACCTTACTCATGTAAAGACCAATCAAAGTTGATTCAAACTTATCTTCATTAACACGTTTGTAATGAATACAATTAACACGTGTAAAGATAAGAGAACCATGCTTTAGTAGCATGTTACAAGAACAACCATTAACTAAAGCCTTTAATTTTTCTTTCCAGAGTAATAATCGATTAAAAACAGAACAAAATCGATTAAAAAGTTCTTGTTAATGGTTTTAATCGATTAAAATAATGTTTTAATCGATTAAAACAGTGATGAAATTCGAAAGTTTGAAACATAAGTTGATTTAATCGATTAAATCGACATTTAATCGATTAAAATAGTAAGAAAAATGTTGTATAAGTGCGTTTAATTGATTTAAAGCTTG